TCCTACCTTCGATTTGAAGGAAAAAAAAACTAAGAAATTAAGTGTTACTTATTACTAATAAGTTGTGATTTTTAGATCAAATATATGATTATATTGATTGGTGTACTTTTACTATATTTTTCTTTCTTTCTGAAAAGAAACAGAAAGAAAGATTTTTTTCAAAAGTTTCATGACCTTCAAATATAACAATCGATGGAGTCCAAATTTTCGTTAATTTTTCTTAAAATACAAAAAAGAAAGTCCATGAAAAAACTAAAAATACAAAAATTGACATATTTTGTATGTGTATGCATGATATTTCACCATATATATAATTTTCCAGTAAATAAAATTCGGATAAACTCCCTGCCCCGGCCTGGAGGAAGAGCTGGATTGTGGATGGGAAAGACGTACAACTCGATTATTATTGTCTTCCATCACTTAGGTGTAAAATTTTAATCCAACCAAAAATCATCCAACCGCACTCTTAATTTAATTACAATCTATTGTTTATTTTTCATTGGTGATCCAATATAAAAGAGATAAATAAATTGGTTAGAACATAGTTCACGTGCTTTATTCTTATAGGAAAAAGATAGACCATCAATTTTCCATATTTGAAAAATATGGTCCAAAATTCGTAGTCACGAGAGAATTTGTTGAAGCATAAATAACAATTGTCCAACGCAATGGATGATGTTAAATAAAAGGGAAAGCCATGAAAGTGAAAAACTAAATAAAAGTAGAATATCTTGTGAAATCCTCATCGACTTCATGTAAGGTTATAAAAACCAACAAATTCTGAACACCATCCATCTAATGTTGCTCCTTTAAAATAATATATTCACTTGCCTCTTTTAAAAGAGAACACGTGGAAAATAATTCATTAATTAAATCCAAGGGTGATTAAGGTTGCATTCATATCCAAAATTTTGAGTTTATAGAGTTACTTATTGTGTTGTGAATAAATTATTTATAGTATATATTAAGAATTTCCAATCATCGCTGAACAATAAATTGGAATGAGCTACTATGTAAAGATATAGTACATGAGCCTAACTTAACCTCAAAAACTAGCTCACGGGGAGGTTTGTCTAAGTCCTAATAAGAAGACCAATTTCTCATCCCTCTAGCAATGTGGGACTTTGTAACAAACTCTAACTTCGTTCTTTGTTGGAAATTAACAAGAATGCACAAGGATTTTAAAAAGAAAAAAACGAGAAGAAGAATAGGATGAAGGATTTTCTGTGTGTATTCTCTGTACAAAGTGTGTTTAAATAATACAATCAGAATCTACTTCTAACAAACTTCTACAGCTGTCCTATGCTAATTGGCTAATCTATAACAAACATGTAATTACAATTTTTCATAAAACAAAATAAGGAAAACTAATATTTAAAAATTAATATTATGGAACCTTCTGGATGGAAGAGCAGATGATGATCACATGTCTCATTTAAATCAAAGTTTCTTTCCAATTTTACTCTTCACCTTTTCTTTTCTGGTGACTGAATCTTACGGCGGGTCGTGTTCTTGTGATATTCCAACATCCCCCCTCAAATTGGAGGGGGAGGAACGAACACCCAATTTGTCCAATAGAAGACGATGAGAGGAACCAAGTAAAGGTTTCATAAAAATGTCGGCAATTTGAGAAGAGGAAGGAAGAAAAGTGAGGGAAATGAGTCATGTGAGAAACTGTTGCCGGACAAAATGGCAATCCAAATCAACATGCTTGGTCCGTTCATGAAAGATTGAATTTTTAGCAATGTGAATTGCAGCCTCACTGTCGAAATGAAGGGAGATGGGTAGAGTAGGAGGAAGAGAGAGATCAGAAAGGAGTCGGACAAGCCAAGTCAATTCTGCAACAACACATTGCATGGATCTGTACTCAGCCTCTGCAGAGAAAAGTGAAATAGAAGTTTGTTTCTTTGATTTCCAAGAAATAGGACTACCCCCAAGACTGATGTAGAAACCACTCATTGACCGACGAGAGTCGGGGCATGTAGCCCAATCAGAGTCGCAAAAAGCCAGCAAAGTGAAAGATGGGGAAAAATTGAGAAGAATTCCTAAGCCTGGCCGGAAAGGAGATAACGGAGAACATGGTGTGCAGCTGAAAGATGTGCCTGGTGATGTAGTTGCATATATTGTCTAAGGTGTTGGACAAAAAAATAAATATCTGGTCTAGTGTGAGTTAAAAAATTCAGTTGTCCAATCAAACGGCGCTAAACAGTGGCATCTGGAAGAGGAGAACCCGTATTGGCCTATAGCTTGTGAGTGGGATCTAAAGGTGAAGAAACAGGTTTGAGGCCAAGACAATTGTATTCCGACAAAAACTCTAGTACAAACTTACTTTGATTGAGTATCAAACCACGAGGCTCCCTGATGACCTTAATACCCAAAAAATAATGCAAGTCTCCTAAATCCTTGATTTTAAATTCAGAATCCAAAACACAATTTGAGGGCATCTAATCCTGCTTTGTCGTTGCCATTAAGGAGAATGTCATCCACGTAGATATCTAAAAATGAAACATAGGAATCATGGCATTTGTAGAAGAGGGAATACGCGTTTAAAAAATGAGTAAAACCCTTGAATTTGAGTTATGTTGTCAAACGAGCATACCATTGTCTCGAAGCTTGTTTCAAGCCGTAAAGAGACTTCTTTAGTCGACAAACTTTAGTAGGATTAGTGACTTCCAAACCTTCTGGAAACTTCATATAAACTTCCTCATCTAATTCACCATGAAGAAAAACATTGTTAACGTCTAATTGGTGTAAACCCTAGCCCTTCTTAATTGCAATAGCAAACACACAACGTATAGTAGTAATCTTCACAACAAGACTAAAAGTCTCGATAAAATCAACCCCTTCTTTATGAATTTCACCTCGAACAACCAAACGAGTCTTAAGTCATTCAACACTACCTGATGAGTTCAATTTAACTTTGTAAACCCATTTTGTAGGTAAGGCTTTCTTACTAGCAGGCAATGAAACCACTTCCCAAGTGTCATTAGTGATCAAGGCCTCAAGTTTTTTTGTCATAGCATCTCTCCAACCTGGGTATAAAATAGCTTGGGAACAAGAAGTAGGCTTAGTCACATGGGATAAAGAGGTGATGTAATCTTGATTGAATTGAGACAAGGCGGAAAAAGCAAAAGGAGACACATGAGTAGGAGAAGAAAAGAGAATATTAGAAACATTAAAGAGATAAACACTATTACAAACGTAATCCTCTAGGTAAGCAAGAGTCTTGACAGACTTAGTGGACTTCCTGAGAACAATAGGATTTGAAGGAGAACTGAAAGTGGAGAAGTAGGAATAAGAGATTCAGATGGGAGATCATGGATGTTAGGAGCACTGGAAAAGTTAGGATCAATAGGATGTGAATGATTGGTCAGAAAAACATAGTCATAAGATGCAGAAGTAGTAGGAGTATCAAGAGGAAAAATGGAAATAGTATGTTGAATTGTGGCAAAAAGATATATATCTTCAAAGAACTTAACATTTCTGGAAACAAAATGCTTCTGAGAAGGAAAAAACATCAACTTGTATCATTTCTTGCCAAAAGGATACCCAAGAAAGACACAAGGTTCAGCCCTGGGAGCTAACTTAGATCTACGATCTACCTTGAGTAGCAATAGAAGCAAAAACAAGACATCCGAAACATTTCAAATGAGAGTATTTAGGAGGATGCTGAAACAGTCTTTCATAAGGAGTTTTGAAAGAAAATAATTTAGTAAGACATCTGTTAATGAGATAAGTTACAATCATAAGAGCATCACCCCAAAATTTATGAGGAAGATGAGATTGAAACAAAAGAGGCCTACATAGTTCTAATAGATGTTTGTATTTTCTTTCAACTACAACAGTTTGTTGTGGTGTGGCTACACAAGAGGTTTGATGCATTATCCCTTGAGAATATAGAAATTTAGAATTTTCTTGACTGGACCCCAATTCCCAAGCATTATCTAATCTAATGACTTTAACCTTTTTGTTGAATTGTCTCTCCATCATAGCAAGAAAAGATTTGAGCATAGGAAAAACATTGCTTTTAATGGAAAGTAAAAATGTTCAGGTACCCCTACTACAATCATCTACAATGCTAAAAAAAAATACTTAAAACCATCATAAGTAGGTGCTTGAAAAGGCCCTCAAGTATCAATATAAATTAAGTCAAAAATTTGTTTAGATGCAATTTGACTGCTAGGAAAAGAGAGTTTGTGTTGCTTCGCCAAAGGACAAACCGAACAAAGAACAGAGAATTTAGAACAAAGTAAAACTGAAATTTCATTAATGTGGTGGATATTTGAAAGGGGAATATGCCCTAATCTTACATGCAATAACTTGCTCTTAATATCAGAAAAAGAAACACAAGATAAGCTGGATGTAACATCCTTTGAGGAATGAAAACTAGAGCTAGTATTTGTAGATGAAAGATCTGGAAGACTAGTCTTGAGAAGATAGAGACCATTCTGACTTTCACCAAAGAGCATTGGCCTCTTCATTGAAGGGCCTTGCATGAAACAATGAGAAGATGTGAAAATTAACATATTAGAAAACTTTTTGCATAATTTATGGGCAGACAAAAGATTGAAGTGAAAACTAGGTACAAACAACACACTGTGAATAATTAGATTAGGGGAAAGCTGGATAGATCCTGAGTAAGAAATTTGAACTTTCTGAGAATTAGAAAGATTAACATAAATAGGTTTAGGCAGAGGCTTGAAATAGAAGAAGAAATCCTTATTATAGCTCATGTGCTCTGTTGCACCTGAATCTATAATTCAAGTTTGTTTAGTGTAGCCCTTAGAATCAACATGTAAATTTAAGGAAAATGGACTAGAGCATAAAGTTATACCAACACAATTAATAGAAGCCATGACCTCAGAATTATTGGTGCCTTGATCACTATTTTTCACATGTTGAAGCATCTACATCACCTGAGCTAATTGTTCTGCAGTGAGTAACTTTGACTGATGACACTGTATCACTTATGAAAGAATCTCCAAAAATATCATTAGAGGTCACTGCATTTCCCTGAACGGAACTCTGAGAAGTTCTCTGCCTAGTGAATTTAAATTTGGTGAAAACCCATGCAACTTATAACATTTCTCAATAAGATGGCCTGGTTTCTTACGATACTTGCATACGAGAGGAGACTTCTTGTTCTCATAAGATCTTCTTTGTGCCCTAAAATCAGTAGAAAAAGACCTTGGTCCAACATTGGCTTGGTTAGCAACAACAAAAGAAGAAGATTCACCTGGAAATTTTGGTGTATTATGAACCTCTCTTTGTTTTTCTTCTTGGATTAAGAGTGCATATGAATTTGAAATAGAGGGTAAAGGTGAAATCATCTGGATATTACCTATAGGAGCACAGTAAGAGTCATTGAGACCCATTAGAAACTGAACTAAACGCTCATCTTGCTTGGCTTTAATATTCTTCTTCTTTGCTCCACATGTACAATCACAAGGACAAAAACTGAAGGTATCCAAAGTATCCAACTCATCCCAGAGTCGTTTGATTTTGGTGTAGTAACCAGCAATATCAGATGACCCTTGAACCAGGTCACTAAGTTCCTTTTGGAGCTGAAAGAGTTGTGGACCAGAACTCTGTCCAAACTTGTCCTCCAATTCTTCCCAGATGTCTTTAGCAGTAGAGTAATAGATAACACTTTCAGAAATTTCGAGAGAGAGAGAATTCAATAACTAAGAGATTACAATGTTGATAGATCTGGACCAAGATCTGTGAAGATCTGTTCCAACTTCAGGTTCTTTGGTGGATCCATCAATAAACCCAGATTTATTCTTCGCGGTTAAAGCTATCCACATGCCTCGTTTCCATCCACCTAAATCCTTGCTATCAAATACTATGTTCACCAACAAGGTACCTAGAGAATCAGAATGAGATATGAAGAAAGGTGAGCCAGATTAATTAGCTCAATGGGAGGTGCATTATCAGTTGGAAGAATGCCTTGAGTCCTAGTAGTAGTAGGTGTTGGATTATGTTTATCACCCATGAGAAATTAGAAGAAAAATGTTGAGGGTTTATATCAGTAGAGCCTATGCTCTGATACCATGAAAACAAAAAAAAATGAGAAGAAGAATAGGATGAAGGATTTTTTGTGTGTATTCTTAGTACAAAGTGTGTTTAAATAATACAATGAGAATCTACTTCTAACAAACTTCTACAGTTGTCCTATGCTAATTGGCTAATCTGTAACAAACATGTAATTACAATTTTTCATAAAACAAAATAAGGAAAACTAATATTTACAAATTAATATTATGGAACCTTCTGGATGGAAGAACAGATGATGATCACGTGTCTCATTTAAATCAAAGTTTCTTTCCAATTTTACTCTTCACCTTCTCTTTTCTGGTGACTGAATCTATCGGTGGGTCGTGTTCTTGTGATATTCCAACATGTTTGTCCTAATTTTCTACCATAGTTAAAATTAATTTTCTTCGGTGTAAAAGAACTCTTTCATATATATATGCTTTTTTGTCAGAAAAGTTTTTGACTTTAATAAATAGAAAACTTTTTCTTTCTCATACACAACACAATAGCATTCATAATGTAATCGTTAAAATAAAATTATTTAGCATCCACATTATAGTCATTAGAAAGGTTTTATTTAGGAGGAGATTGTTAATTTCTATGTCGTTTTTACATTAGTTTTCCTAACTATAAACCAATAGACCAAATCAGATTCTTATACATATTTTAGTATACTATTCTTGGTTTAATTTATCTTCATTCAAAAAATATAATTATTAACTTTTGCATGATTATGTCATATATATTATTTCAATCCCAAACACCAAAGGTGTAGCACATAGTTTAAGATGGTTAGTTGGACAACCTTTATTAAAATATTATAATATATATAAAGAGAAAATTATACGAAGCATATAGGTTAAAAATTATTTTTAAACATATATTTTAAATTTTAAATATTCTGAACGAAATTTTTGATTTCGCCACTGCCAACACGCTCGCGCACCGGGGACAATTAGTTATGAACTTTAGGACTTAGGAGGTTATGAAAATATGAAAAGATGACTTATATGAAATCACAAAAAAGAAAAAGGTGTAAATGAGGGATGGGGCCCATGTAACTAGAGCAAAGTACAGTACTTACTGGAGAAAGCACAATAAATCAAATCTACCATGTAAAAAAAAAAGGGTCCATTTTAGCACTATGAACAGTGTACAGCCCAACCCCAGCATAGGATACTTTTGTCAAGCCTAGCACCATCAAATTGGCATTTTTGAGGTATAGTAAAAAAAAAATTAAAAAAATGGGTCCACCCCCCACCCACCTTAGCTGAACCCAACAAGTTCATGTGGGTCTAGACAAGTAGTACGCTTGATGATGTTCAATCACTTTGAGCTAGGCTCCGAAAATTCTTATGAGTAAGAGAGTACTATACATATACATTTATTTGTTGAAAAATGATACATCAATCAGAGATATAAATAATCATTTGTATGTATCATTAGTAGTGTTTGAATTTATCTTTGTAACAGATCAAGAATTTAAAGATACAAAGACTTTTAAAGTGTTGAGCAAATTGAAACGCTTGAAGATGATAAAAGGTGAAAGAAATTTAAGTGCAAAAAGAACACAATTTACTTTGTTAGGAGATTTATTATTAAAAATGTTATCATATCATAATTTCGATTAGTGTAGCCACAAACATAGACCTTAAAAATTCTTTTGGATTGCAAGCTTCAATTCTTGAATATGTTATATTTCATTATTAAAATTCCTTACTTCTCCATGGTCAAAATCATGATAGCAATTATATTATTTTAAGCAATAAATATCTTAATCCAAGTCTATGTTGGCACACACATTACAAATAAGATGAAAGACTATTATTTTCTTTAAATTTATATTTTAGATCAACCTCTTTTTGCCATCAATTTCATTAACAGTAACATCAACTATAAAAAAATTATTTGAAGAGAGATGTTAACAAATAACTACCTCAAATGATCAATTGATTAGTTATGAAGAAATTAAGCTCTCAAAAGTCACATTTTTTTTTTGTAACAAATTAGGGTTCCCTATATGTTATTAGTGTTGGATGATGATGATGATAACGTTTTTTGCTTATTTCTTTAAAGACAATTTCTTTGTGGGGTTCCATTTTGTGTCCTCTATTGTATATATATATCCAAACACTTCTCAACCGTTCAATGTGCTCTTTAGTCTTTATTATGTAAGTTGTGAAGCCTTTGCTTTTATGCACTCCCTTGTTAATTTTTATTTGTTCATTTTAATTTATCTAATGAAAGAAGTTTTTTATTTTAACTTTTAATATTAATTATTTATTTTAAATTATCTTTTAGTCTATTAAAAAATCTACATCAATTAATATGAGTGTCATGATAAAATTTGCACTTTATTTGTTATTCCTTCTATCCTATTTTATTTGACACTCTTTCCGTTTTAATTTATCCCAAAAAGAATGTCATCTTATTATATTTTAATACAATTTAACTTTAAAATTTTCTTTTTAGCCTTAATGAAATGATTCTCCATCATAGAAAATATTTAAGAATTGTTTTAGACCACAAGTTTCAAATTTTTTCTTTTTTTTCTTTCAAAGGTGTCACATAAAATGAGACAAAGATCATATTTCTTATATATTTTCAATTTATTTTTCTAATTTTGATTTACTATGAAGTTTAAGAAAATAATTTGAGAATAAATTATTGTGAATTAATCTAAAGATATATAAAATGCACCAAAATATCATCTAATCTTCATAGTTTTATATATATAATGTGAAAAGTTAAAGTCAAAGAAGAAAAAACATTTTTTTTAAATAGAATGAAATAAAATAAAATAAACAATTGAAACCGAGGAAATTAAATATTAAATTGGTGATTCATTGTTTGGTATTTGGTTCAGAAATCAAAGAGTCCAAATTTTAGGGAAACCTTATCATACTTGAGGGCAAAAATTAATTTCTTGAAAGTGAAATGTACGAGACTTTTAAGTTTTGCTTACAACTTCTCACTAAATGAATGACATAACTTGTCCCAATATTATTGTCGTTTATAAGATTTTTACACACTGGATAAGAAAAAAAAAAAAATTCTTTTTGCCAGAAATTTTGACCAGAATGCTAAAATAACATATTTCACAGTTCACACTATGTTATAGTACTTTTTTTAATATTTTTATCATTTTTAACTTTAATATCTTTTAATTAAAAAATAAAAAAAAGATCAATTTATTTTAAAATAAAAAAGATATTACAAACTTTTTAAATTTCTAATCAAATTCTAACCAAATTTTCTGGTCATTTAACATTACCCTAAGAAAAAAAATATTAAAGTTATTAGAAACCTTTCAATATACAATTTGGGCTTCATGTACCAGATATTTAATAATAATAGATTTTTATTTTACTGATAATATTTATTGTCAGAGGCAATTGATTTAATGTCATTATATTCACAGTCGATAACGTTTTTAGCAGTATTTATATAAAGTATTGATTATAAATAATCATATTAACTATTATCGCTAAATATCAAACGTTGCAAAATCTTTTATTTCGTTGTAGTGATGTTATATACCAAATGCAGAAGAAGATGTGGTAGTATGTAATCGATGAGTTAGGTAGGACGATAAAGAACATATTGAAAAAGGTTGAAATTATCATATTCAAATTTGAATCATCTCCAACAAATTAAATATAACGTATAGAACTTATATATACATGTAACAAAAAATAATGCACAGGCAAAATAATTGTACGATTATAACATCAAATCAATCACCTTGCTCTCATACAATAATTTGCCCCCAAGCTAATTAAACACATTTTAAATGATTAGAGAAGGCAGACCGGCCGAGGATGACTATGAGCCTGTTTTAATTGACTTAAAAGTTGATGAAATATACTTTTAATTTACTTATAGTTTCTGAAAGTATTTGATAAAGTTAAAAATAATTTAAAATAAGTTAAAAATTACTTTTAAAAAGTTAAAAAACAAAAATAAGTCTCCCTCTACTTTTTATTATTTTTAACTTAAAAGCTATTTAAAAAATAAAAATAAGTCTAAACAATCTCTATATCAATCATAAGGACTAGCTATATGGTGTCTCCACGATTTTTGAGCTCTTGCTCTAATTTGTTTAAACATGAAATTAAATAATGAAGGATTATTATGTTTGAGTTCAAATACATTTTTGTACCAATATATATATATATATATATATATATATATACACACACACACTGACGGTAAATATTTTTATAATTGAAGAAATAACAAATTAAGGATTAGTCAGATGTAAAATAATTCTCTTGGTATAACTTGTCACCACTCACCATATGTAGCAGTACTTTCTCCCTTTCAAAATAACAAAGGGTTTTGGAGTACATACAAGAGTTTGAATCTTATTATTTTTTAATTTCATTTTGGATATCAAATTATTTATTTCTAAAAAATATACAAAATACATCATTAGAAATTAGATGAAAAGAACCACTCCAAAATTGACTTTTAATACACAAATAATTTTTTTAATGATTTAGAAATTTTTTTTATGGTAAAGCAAATTTTTCGCTCTCAAACTAATATATGTCATGTATAATATAATAAAATGGGGAAAGTATACATAATAACGAGCAACAAATGAATGCCATTTAGGTAAAAAATTATCCACAATCGATCGATACTTACTCTAGAATAATGAGTCATAACATATGTTAAATTAATATTGAACAAATAAAAATGAACGAAAAATAATAATGACAAATACTCCTTAAGTTATCAAAGAGTTATCTTAACATAGCTATCAACTTATCAATTATCACTAATCAATGTCCTTCAAAATATTTGCAATGTACACCAAATTTGGTATTATTGCACTAGTGCCTCATTAATGAATCCTCTAGGGATTAGGTGGCATAAGTACTACCTTAGGAACTCTAGACATGAAGAAAATTAAACCAAACATAATATAATCCAGAAATGTACGTACTAGCAAACAGATACTCCCTCCGTCCCTATTTAGTTGTCCACTTTAGAAATGACACACAGATTAAGGCAACAATGATTATCACAGTGAATTTATAATTTTACCCTTATAGTACAATTTACAATTCCAAAATAAATTAACTCAAGATAACTAATTAATGTTGGGAAGTTCATAAGTTTATTTACTTTATTTATGACAATTTTATTTAAATAAGGGTATAATAGGAAAAAATTTGTTGTCCTTTCTTGATTTGTCAAAATGGACAACTAAATAGGGACAACTAAAAATGGAAATATGGACAACTAAATAGGGACGGAGGGAGTATTATTAATGGAGTTAATATTAGTTATCCAGATCTTCATCTTAAAATAAACAGATGTGACCTTTTTAGTGTTAAGGTAAAAGATAACTTTTTCATTTGACATTTGCAAAAAGTGAACTTTATTTTTACTTTTACTGCAAAGTTTAGCACTGACAATCAGAATCCAACACTCTCAAATACTCATTAATCATTCCAATCTGACAAGACAGTTTTCCTTCAAGTAGTTGGCACGTGTACTCCACTCTCCTTCTTATGCGCGTGTATGTCACCACTCCCACAATCACTTCAGCCAATATTTTATTTTGCTCAAATTCTTTTTTAAAAAACTGTATAAATAATGTTTATAACTTTATATCATTGTGTCATTTTCGTATGTTATTTTAAATATTTTTTTAAAAAATACTTGTAAATTTTAATTTAAATGATCCTTTTTGAGCTTATTAGTTTACCTTCTTCACCTAAATGATTGAACTTACATCGAAGAAAGAACTGGCAATAGACCTAAAGTGGCAAAACTATTCATTTGGGCATTTAAATTCATAAGAGTGTCCAATTATCGTAATGAGATAAATAAAAATATTTTATAAATTGAGACATGACTTGTGATTAACTAATTTACTTTTTATAATACTCCTATGGAATGCTCATTCCTCAATACTTATAATCAAACACCAAAAAAAAAAAAAAAAAAAAAACATCTCAAAAACCTTATTCGGCTGACCAAACAATTCCTTAAATAATTATAGCCTATAGGTGAACTTTTGTTAAGCTTTAATAGGTACTCTTTCTATCTTATTTTAAGTGATGACACATTTCTTTTTCTTTGGGGTCAAAAAGAAATGAAACCTTTTCTATTTTTTAATTAAATTAAATGATTATAGCCATAAAAATAGCTAGACATATTCTAGACCATAATTTCAACTATTTTTTTTCTTCTTAAATTATGAAGATATTCGAACTAATTAACCTCAGAAAAAAGAAGTTTTCATTCACTAATAGATCGTTATCACATTTCTACAATTTTTAACACAATAAGATTTTAGTCTTTACAAAGGACATAAGAATATGATGAATAAATATAGAAATTCATACATCGAAAAGGAGTGGGAGAATAGATGATTTTACGCACAATCTTTCTCTTCTTATTAATTAATTTTGATTAGCTATATTGAAATCAGAAGCAAATTATTTAAAAAAACTTCTAAGTCTATGAAAATTGTTCGAACAGCATATTACATAATTTAATATTAAAGTAAATAAATTAGTCTAACCTGCTATCACAAAATAATATAGATTGGGTAAACACTTAAAATTCGCATATTCTTCTTTTTGGTTTTAAGTTTCGTGCTCATCATCAATTCTCTCCATACACTTTTTGTCGTTATTAATTCATTGATGAAATGCACACAAAATGAACTCCACATTCACATGAAATGTAAACCAATTTCTCAATCTCCCAATCATATCTATTATATATACTCTTCCTTCCTTCCAAGTTGTGTCTCCGTTAATTATAGCCCTTTTTTTTTCCCTACCATGGAGCTATAACAATAAATCACAATAATACAGTTTTATTTTATTTTTCTAAAAAATAACTTATTTGGGTCGCCGGAAAATCAAGATTCCGGTAACCCACAGTAATCATTTTGTTTATACATATAATTCTTTCTTTCCTGTCGCCGGGAGATAAAAAAAAGGTGATGATAAATGGCGAAGGGTCGGAAACTTGCCACTAGTCGCAGTGAAATGTTATTAGGAAACTACCCCAGCTATAGAAATGGAACTGCAACACTCAACGGTTCCTCAGAACTAGGAGAAGATGATATCTGGTCAACGGTTGATGACATGGATGATCACGATTCAAGGGGCGAGTGGAGTCCACGCGCCGCCGCTGAGAGTAATAACGGATATGTGAACCGTAAGCTGCCGGTCCAACAATCCGACCACCACCACAGCCACCGCGGGCGCCAGGTTGGGGGACTGTCATTGGCTTTTGATGATTCAGGTAAAACGGCATCTCCTCGGATCTTGCACCAGTTTCGCGGACAAGACGCGCCATCCACACGTGTGGCACACATGGCCACGTCAGCACCTGTGAATGTCCCTGATTGGTCTAAAATATATCGAGTTAACTCGGTTGAGTCATTGCATGACTCGGATGATGGTGTTGATGATCATGACTCGGAGATGGTTCCACCGCACGAATACATTGCTAGGAGCAGGAACTCGAACGCTCGCTCGGTGTTCGAAGGTGTGGGCCGTACGTTAAAGGGTCGGGACTTGAGCCGGGTTCGAGATGCTGTGTGGAGTCAGACCGGGTTCGATGGTTGAGTTCATCAAATGAACTAGCTATCGTTTTGTTAGAATTAAAGATTTTATAACTATTTTAGCTGTTTGGAGAATTAAAGAGGCAATTGATGATAATTATTTATTTTGCTAGATAAATTTTTGGTCTTGGGCAATTATTCAGGTTGAATGAATACAAACTCAGTGAGTCAACCAGCTCCTATGGAGCCTAAGTTTAATCTTTTTCGTTTTTCTATTAATATATTTTCACATATTTTATGAGTAAGTATGTACTTTTACTATGGTGGATTTTAGCAAAGTGTTCTTTTGTCATTTTCAGTTATCAATAATGGTGAAATTTTGGGTGCAAAGAATGTAGTCCCACTAAATAGTGTCTGGATAAAACTAGTACATTCAGTAGTCCCACAAAATTGTTGCAATCGTTGATGGAACTATTCAACTATCAACAATTGTTTCATAATTACCATTTATCAAAAATAATTTTTTATCCTATAAAAATGATGTAAATTTTGCATACATTCTATTATTCTCATATGTTATTTATAAGATTGTATTAATATGTTGTTGTTATTGTTATTATTATTATTATTATTATTATTATTATTACTTTTTCATAATAATCATATCTTAAAACTATTTTTCTCACAAGAAGCTTGATGAAAAAAAAATACTACCATGAAGGAAGAAAGACTCGTACATTTTCTTTTATAATTATGAAATATAGTTTTAAATTTTTTAAAGGAAATTTATTAATATGCTATTACTTGTCAAATGTTTGTGATCACCTTATTCACCTATTTATTAAAAGACATATCTACTTAAATTATATGCTAGTATTAGTAGTATATATAGGTAGAACGTCCTCATCATTTGGTTTAGATGTTGACTCAAGATTCCAAGTCATTTGGAGGGAACACTTGAATTTTTTAATTTTTAACACTTGATGGAATTTTCCCATGCCTGGATTGCTACTTTTTTAATTTTTATCTTGAGTGTTATCTTTATTCATGTTTAGTATGTCCAAGATATTATTAAAAAACAATTTTCATTTACATAAGGAAAATTAGTTGACCCCACCACTACCTCTAAACTTGTTGATCATATTATCAGCAAGAGCGATGGTCGAACATAAAACTAATTAATTAGTCTATGATGAACAAATTTGGATGTGTAATTAGTATCGAATAAGTTTTTTTTTAATCATATAAGAAGGTGTAATAATTGTAGAAGTTAGTTATCCTGGAATAAAAGAATGAAAATGACAAAAATATGGTTGAGATCCCTCAAACCTTATTCTACTGATTGATAAGAAAGAGAGTATTTTTGTAAACAAATAAGTTCTTCTGGAAACTATGTAATGCATGTTATTTTTAAAACAACAATTCAAACAGTTAATAAGAAATAATATCATAATAACTTATTTCAACACTATTAATCCCAATATAACTTGTCTTCATATCAAACGACTCCAAAAAAACAAAATGAAATAATTATAGAGTTTAAGGTTTACACAAGTGAACGTTCTTGCCAAATAAGACACATGTTTATGAAATAAATTGTGTGATTGTTTGATGTTTTATATATCAAATAAAAAATAATGTGAACGTAGTTTATTAGAGTTGGACTCAAAGAAAACTAAGACTATGTTTCCTCTATCATGATTAGAGATGTACAAAACATTTTCAAAGCATTAAAATCACAAAATCTCTAGTTTTTGCTAGACAAACATATATTGAAAATCTTATATAGGCATTTCCCATATCATAAGAAGATCGGAGAAGTTCTTTTTTTTTTAATTAAAAAATAAAAGAAAGAATATCAGGACATATGAATAAATTGGATCCACAAATATATTATTTATTTTTAAAAATAATTTTAGAGGCTAGAATATCTTAAATTAAGATATGAAAAGAGTAATAGAGACATTTAATGTGGAGGGGTCCAAATCCAAAGCCCAGAATATTAGGATCCAATTACTTTTTAGAGAAGATGATAGGTAGGATTCTAGCTACGTCATTATTTTTTTTAATATATATAAAAAGAATTTAGATAACAAACAAATAAGAGATTTAAAATTCATTCAAATAATTATATTAGATATGTAATTGCGTGTATATGTAACAAGAAAAAAATATGAATTTGCGACTGCATATTTATATATTTTCTAGTCTGGTCCTTGATTTCTTTTATATTTTTCTGTACATTATTCAATTTATGATATTCGCAATAATATTAAGAATTGTACTATTGAAAAACACAAATGGAGAAAAAAGGAAAAAAAAAACAAGTGAAAAGATACCCTATTGCTATATAGTACCTTTTTATAGAAAGGAACACGAGTCAATTCAATGGGCTCATGAATTCTGTGAGCCACTGGTTTTTTTCTTCCTTTCTATTCTGTCAACAACGCAAAAGATTGATTTTTTTTATACGGTAAAGGGTCAAATATACCTCTGTACTATAGGAAATAGTTTATATATGTTCTTCGTTATATTTTTGGGCCAAATATACCCCTTCCATTATACTTTGGGCCAAATATACCCCTAATTTTAACGGGAGGACACTTGTTAACATAGAATCAAATAACTCACCTCCAATTTTAAATACCCAATTCCCTTAAGAAACCCACCCATTTAACCTATTCCCAACCCGTTTTCATAGTCATCTTCTCCACTTGAGATTTTCATTAAAATCAACACTTAATCACTACGGAAACTTCAACACTTAACTGTGTGCTGGACCTTTCGTAGTTGAGTATTGATTTTAATGGAAGCTTTAGCTAGAGAAGATGATTATGAAATGGGTTTGGTTCAAATTGGGTATTTACAATTGTGGGTGGGTTATTTGATTCCTATGTTGATTAGTGTCCTTCCGTTAAAATTAGGGGTATATTTGGCTCAAAGTATAACAGGAGGGGTATATTTGGCCCAAAAATATAACGAAGGGCATATATAAACTATTTCCTATAGTACGGAATATATTTGACCCTTTTCACTTGGGACCCATATCTTAAGATAAATATTTCCAATAATAATTTTAAACCAATGAGAATCATTGATAAGATTTTAACTTCTTGTAAATTTGGCAATATAATTTTTTAATTGTATCTTTCGTCTTAAGCATTTCGTGTTTACAGGTTCATATACAAAGAAAATGTGAGATGTAGGTAATTAATTAATATATCCTGACATAGATATTAGTTATTGATTTCACAATAAAATGTGTATCGATAAGTTATATATAATAATTTGATCGTCACTCAAGAGACCTGATATATTGATGATTGGTATAAAAATAATTATATTATATTGAGTGTTTAAACATTGAATTCCTCAAAATATGCTCACCTAACCATATGCTATATTGAAATAATAAAAAATTGGGTAGGAGTTACTTCATCACTCACCTTGGTCTGAGAGACTATTAATAGCGGATGAAGAAGTTAGTTCTTCGATATGGATCGAAATGAATATAAGAACTAAGAAATTCATATACCATTTTGACTAGTTTAAGATAAAAATATATTTTATGGACAAAAACTTAATATCAATATAGTTTAAAGGGAAAAGGTCTAAAATTACTCCGGAAATACACGAAATGATACATTTTTACCTTCCATTATATTATAGTCGGGGGGAATAGAATATACATAAAATTAACTCGTGGCATCAATTTATTTCTTTAATAGTTCTATTAAGTTGAATTTGAAAATAAGTATAAATCATAAATATATGACATGTTGTAACGATGAGGGTGCATATGATCTCAATTATTCACGAAGAGCTAGTAAAAGTATATCATTTCTTATAGTTCAGAAACAATTTTTGACACAGTGAGCCTAATAATATAAACTACATTATAGTATACGAAGGTTGATATAAATACTTACCTAAAGATCAAAACAAAAAAAGAAGCTAAGCAATTGATTAGAGTAATTGACACTATACAATAATGTTAGTGGATGTATAAAAATAAGATAAAATAGTACTAATAGTAGTAGTTACGATTGTGGTGGATATTGCAGCAGATGGAGGAATCGTCCATTTTGGTGAAGCTGGTGCATTCAAACCCCACTATCCTTTATTTTTGTTTGTTTTCCACTCAATTTTTGGTATTCATTTTTTAGGTATGATTAATTTGAATTTGTGCTAAAAAGTGTCATTCAGGATAAAAATACTTTTTATCAACTTTCAACATTAACTTCATACCTAAAACTCAAATTTGAAACCTCTCAAGTCGGAAGAGTGCTTACCACACTAGCATTACCTTAGGTGGTACTCCCACTATCCATTATTACTATGAATGGATGAGCAACTTAATTTCCATCACAACTTTTCTCTAAATAAATGCAAAAGCTAAAAGATAAATTAAAAAATTGGCACGTCCTTGATAATATGGTTGAAAAAGTACTGCAGTTCCTTTATTGTAAAAGATAAAATTTACTAGTATATAAGAGGAAATGCACTTCATTTATTCAATTGTTGGAGGCATGTGACACGTAACGTATTAAGAGAAGAAAAAAAAAGTTGTGACCACAAAGTTGAGTACATGAGAGTTCACCATCAAGGTATTTGTTTGAGATAGTGATTTTTTTTTTTTTTGGATGAATCTAACAATAATTGTGATTGTGCTTCTGAGATTTATAGTAGCTCAATTGATTGATTAGTTAAATTTTTTATGAGAATTTAATGCTCGATCACTATGTAATAAAAGAATTTTTTTGTCTTATATCTATTTGACTGAACCTCCACAATTAATAACCTCTGATTTTGAGAATAATTGAGAAACCACCATTAAAGAATCATTTGAAGTTTCAATTCGAATTTTGAAAATTCTTGCTGGTTATTTTTCGATTTGATGTGGTTGGAATTCGTTGGAAACACATGAACAAAGTAATATACAAAATTTGTGGAAGATAGGAAGTTGGGTGTGGTTTGAGTTCAAAGTTCAAAATTGGAATCAACCTAAAAACATTAGTGTTACAATGTATAACAAGTGTATATATTTAAATTATATCGTATCATATCATATTTTATATATGTCAGATTTTCATGGATGTACACATGAGTTACACGGACACACATGAGAAATAGAGAGTAGAGACATATATATATAGGTGGAATATTATTTTTGCACTTAGTTACTGTATATAAAAATGGAATATAGCTAAACAGATAGATAACTAATAATTAGAACAAATTGATAGTAATTTTATTTGTGCTGACAAAGAGTGGTACTTGGAGTATCTTGTTGGAGAAAATTTGAGAA